TGCTTCTCCCTCTGCTTCTCTCTCTCTCTCTGTCTCTCATGAATAAATAAATAAAATCTTAAAAAAAATAAAATGTCACCTTTCTTTATCCAAGTTCAAATCAAGTTACCTCATTTTCTTAACTTTCAAAAAGTTTTCACATCATTCCATAAATCCTCCTTACTTGAAATATATATATAATTGAATAAATATATAATTGAATCAATTATTTTGCTAACTATATAGTCAGCAAGGTGATTCAATGGGTAAAAGTCAGGTCTGGGGCAAATAGTACTGGAACAACTAGACATCTATATACAGAAATCAATGTGAACCACAGACCAACACGTCACACCCAAATCTGTTAAGCTTCCAGGAAAAACAGGGGGGAATGTTTGTGACCCTCGGCAAAGATTTCTGTGATAGGATTCAAAACGTAGGAGCCTCAAAAGAAAAAAGAGTTCGCAAATCAGGCTCCATCAAGATTTACAAGGTATGCTCCTCCAAAAACAATGTTAAATGAAAACGTGAAGCAAAGAGAAAATGTTTGCAAGACACACACCTGCTGAGGTGTGATTAGAATATGCCGGGAACTCTCAACTCAGCCCAGAGAAACGGGTTCAAGACGTGAACAGGCACTTCCGGAAAGCAGGGCTCGTCACGGCCAACATTTCTAACCTGACAGCACAAGCCACCCGGTCAGACCCTGATGAAGAAAGCTGTGTGAAAGACTAACGCACACACGGGAAGAAGACCAACAACACGGTCCATCAAAGAAATGCAAGGCGCACACAGGAGACTCCACTGCACGCCCCCCAGAGCGCTTAGAAATGGGAAAGGGAACAGTATGAACCGTTGACGATGATGTGAAGCAAAGGGGACTTCGAACGAAGCCAGCATGAGCCTAGGGTCCCAGCAGTCACGGCCCCGGGAGTTCACCTGAGAGGAATCAAAACTCACATGTGCACAAAGACATCCCAGCACATCCCAGCGGCATGTTCGCAGAGGCGAAAACCACCCGAAAAACCGCGAACAGGTGAAGGAGTCAACACAGCGTGTTACAGCCAGAGAACAGAACATAAGCTGGAAATAGGATTTAGTGATGCACACGACAATGCAGACAAACCTCAAAAGCATGCTGAAAATCACAGAAACGCAGGCAGATTAGCAGCTGCCAAATGGGGGGGTAGCGACCCCGGGGTCCTCGGCGGCCGCTGTGGTGGGGGCTGAGGTCCGTGGACCGTGTCAACGTCCAGATACGGGTGGTGGCAGTGACGGTGTTCTGCAAGACGTCAGCCTTGGGGAAACGGCCTCAGGGGACACAGGACCCCTCCGTGTTATTTCTTACAGCTCATCATTCATCTACAATAACCTCAAAATGGAAAAACAAGAGTTAAATAAAATAAGCCAGACAGGAGAGCACGCACTGCAGTTCCAGGCCACGCTGGGGACAGGAGTCGGGAGTGGCTCGGATGGGTGGAGAGTGAGCAGAAAGGCCGGGAGGGGCCGCTCCAGGCAAGGGAAGTGTTGTCTCTCCCGACACAGAGGTGTATGCATTTGTCAGAGCTCACCAAACTCACCCCCTAGGCTGGTTCAGATTAAAAAGACAACAGGCAAAGCTGTGGAGGACGGGGAGCAACCAAAATTCCTCACACTATGGCAGGGGGGTACAGACACTCAGGAAAACGTCTGGCAGTTCCTTATAAAACTAAAGTCACCCCTTCCCTGTGACCCAGCCACTGCATTCCTAGGTATTTGCTCAAGAGAAATGAAAACATACGTCCACAAAATAGGCTTGCCAAAAATGCTCACA